ATGATGGGCGAAAAAAAAGCAAAACAGTCAAAACAAGTGCCGGAAAGTAGTCAGACCATCGGCCACTACCTTTTTGACTATGTTTGAAGATTCCTCCTGCAGAGGGACATGCCCGACCTGACTTACCCAAGGTCCATCTATGTGGCGCGTGGGGCGACGAGGCGCCGGCCCACAGGGGCCGAAAAAAGAAAGGCAGACACAGAGGAGCCGCAAAACTGCACGGCATGATTCCCAGGACCGCGCGGGTTTCGTGGCTTGGCACTGGACCTAGGTCGGCCCCGTCCCTCTACAGGAGGAATATTCCAAAAAAGTAGTCAAAGAACAGTCTGGGGACGATTTTGAGTATCTTTGAGCATTTTGGAAAAATGTTTGGACTATGTTTTGTTTTTCGTCCACATCTGCCTGTAGGGGGACATGCCCGACCTAACGCTGGAACCCCCTCCCTGGCGAGCGCGCCACGGGCGGCGCTGGGGGCTCCGCCAAGGGGGGCTCCCGGCGCCGATCCAAGCAATCCGCGCAGCGCTCAGAGAAATGACAGCCAATCCGTATAGGAAGGATGCGCAGCAAGGATGCAGGGGCCTTGGAGGGCGAGTGTTTTTCGAACGAGGTCGGCCAGCGAAAGTCGCCAAGGATGGGCCGAAGGGGCGAGGATGCAAGGGCAACCTTGGAAAAGCGCTCAGCCTTACTATGCGGGCCGACTGTATGTTCCCCAACCAGTGCTTGCACTGAAGGGGTTCTAGCGGAAATTGAAAGATTTGGCGAACATGTCCCGCCGATGTTGGTGGCCGGCTGGGTTCCCGGGTTCACGGTTCCGGGTTCCCGGGCTCCTGGTCGTTGGCTCCGGGCCGATTTCGGTGGGTTCTGGGTTCCCGGGTTCCGGGGCTCCTGGTCGATCTCCTCATCGATCTCTGAATCGATCCCATTTCAAACCATCCATTGATTTGGGTTTTTCTCTGGTGTGATTATTTTGCCGTTCTTGGGGGAGCCGAATGGAACCGATACCGCTACTCCCCGGACCTCTCCCGGGGTGCGTTCTAACCAGAATTTCGAGGCGAATCCAGCGGTGGCGACGAGGGCCGCCCAGGAGGCCCAGAAAGGGGGAAACGAGCGAAGGGTAGAGGTATGGGTACTTTTCCTCCTCAGTGGTATGGGTACTTTTTCCTCTTGTTCCTGTATGTTCGTGCGCCAGGCCGGCCTCAATAGAGTGTAGGTCTGCAGCGCTGTTGCATTTCTTGCTAATTTGGTTTATGGGATCTGTGAGCCAATCGTGCTCCTGTCGATTCCCTGCCGATGCGCCGTTGCCTGGCGCCTGGCTTACTGACTGACTGACTGAGTTCTGGTATTCCTCCGGGAGATGGGGCGGGAGGACCGCCGCTGCCTCGACGGGCCCTCCTCCGAGCTGGGCACCTGCAGCGGCCTGCCCCCCCAGCCGACCATCTCCAGGCCGCGCCGCGGCTGCGGCCGGAAGCCGACGAGCTCGATCTCGAAGCTCAGCGCCTGGCCCGCCAGCGGCGGGTTCGCGTCCAGCACGGCGGTGCCGTCCGCCTGGACCTCGGCGACGACCGCGGGCACGCGCTGCCCGCCAGGGCCACCTGGAGGAAGATGGGTGGGGCATTGGGCGTCGCCCGCGTAGTGGGAGGGCGATACACGAGAGGGCAGAGGAACGACGTACACGTGTGGTGTCCCTGGTGGGCCCCAGGGGGGCCCTTCGGGGGCCCCAGAGGTACACAAAAGGTGAGCCCGTCCCCTCCCTCCTGTTTCGCCATTGTTGCGCAACGCCCGAAAAGAAGAAGGAGCCTTAGACCTGGGCGTTGCATTTTTTCGCAACGGGCGTTTTCCCTCGGTTTTGGGCCCCGTGATCCTCACAGATCGATCCGTCTCGGAAACTTGCACGGAAAGATGAAGCTCAATACTCATGGTGGTTCTCCGCGATGTTGCAACATGTTCGCAACGTCGGATCTCCGGGGAGGGGAAGTGGACCGACGACAATGACAATCACCGCGGCGACGAGAGGGAGGATGAGGAGGAGGAGGAGGAGGAGGAGGAGGAGGAGGAGGAGGCCCTGCGCGAGGGAGGGGGATGGAGGCAGATCCAGATGCTTCACCTCTCGGCCAGTGCCCGCTCGGAAGCGATCCGCCTGGCCAACCTTGTCTCGAGACGCACACGGCCATGGCGACGAGGGCGAGAGAAAGAGCAGCGGCCGGGCGTGCAAAGGCCAACCGAGACATGCGCGCGTCGCCTTACAGCGGAGGCCAGTCCACAAGAAGCCGTCCACAAGAATGCTGACCCTGAGACCCCAGGACGTCCATTGACTTTTGGTGTGGGAGCGTCGCGCTTTCCATCGCAAGATCATCAAAGCCCAAGAGACCCAGGGCACCCTGGAGGCAAGCAGGGTGTTTCTTGGCATGGGCCTCCGCTGTAGGCAGAAACATGAAGTATGAAGGCGCTGAAAGCAAACTGGGCTCTCGCCGGCCCCCTGAAGAGGAGGGAAGAGACAGAGCCGCTCGACCCTTGAAGTAAGAGGCGCCCGAAGTAGACTGGGATCTGGGAGCCCCAAGATACCTACAGTCGAGCATCTGATGAAGAAGATTCCTCTCGAAGAAACGCTGGGCCAGCGCTTCTGAACCACCCTGCCGGAAAGCTGGCACGGCTTCTTGAGCAGGTTCGCCCCTCGAGCGTTCACAGCAGACCTTGGCCCAGGCTCGTTTGAAGGACCGTCCTGGAAGCTGGCTCAGATTTTTTGAGGTGTCATAGAAGAAGAAAAAAAACGCCATAAGCATAAATTGTTGGCGCTGCGCGCGAATTTCTTGGATCTGCGCTGGACCCCCCTCCCTGGCGCGCGGAGCGCGCCAGGGGCGGCGCCGGAGGCGCCGCCGGGAGGGCCCAAACGCGGATCTAAGAAACCCACGCGGAGCGCTCAAAATTTATATTTGTGCCGCTTTTTCTTCTTCTATTCTTGAGTGATAATTCTCTTGATCGCATGTCCGGCATGTCCGGCTGCACTTTCCACGACCGATGCGTACTCTTAGGTCGGGCATGTCCTCCTACAGGCGGATTTTGGACGAAAAATGAAAAATACTCACAACATGCACCAACAATCCTCAAAAATATGCAGAAAATCGTCCCCTGACTATTTTTTACTACTTTTGCATATTCCTCCTGTAGAAAGACACGCCCGACTTACAGTCGGGAAAACATAAGACTCGGGTACGGGGGACTCGGGTTGGCCTGACGGGGGCCATCATGAAAAAGACGAGACCCAGTCTGAAATCTGACGCGAGCTCCCGCTGCAGACATCCCACGAAAACCGGACCGTCAAAATCCAGGGTGACTCGTCAAAAAACATCGGCAAACCCGAGTTCCCGCTTACTCGAGTCTTGCGTTTCCCCGATAAGGGTGAAGGGGCCCTGGGACACACAAATAAATACACACAAATAAAAATACTCCCCGTATTGTCTCATATCTTCTGGGTTTTCGTCTCCCCCCCCACTCCCCATATGTTCCCAGATCTTCTGGGGAATTGACGATTGATTGTGTCTGTGCGTTTTTCCCCTCCTGAAAGGGTACTCCTTGCGCCTCGCGCCCCGCGCTGCGCGCCGCGCGACGCGCGGCTTCGCCTCCGCGCCCTCGCGCCGCGCCCCCGAGCAGAGGCGTCTCTGTGCCCCCAGCCGCGGCGCGCGGGGGCGGCTGCATCCGCGCGCAGCGGGTCACCCGCGCAAGCGTCCACCACCACCACCACCATGAGTTGGAGGGGGAGGGGGTCCTCCTCCTCCTCCTCCTCCTCCTCCTCCTCCTCCTCCTCCCCCTCCTCCTCCTCCTCCCCCTCCAACTTATGGTGGTGGTGGTGGTGGTGGAAGACAGGCCCATCAAGCTGGGCGAGGGCTGGCAAATCCGTTGCTGCTAAAACGGTCTTCCTGGAAGAAAAAACAAATCCCCGGAATCCAGCTCAACACACTGAATAATACACGGGCTGCTTCCCGGAAGAAGAACAACAATTCGAACAACAATTTCCAGGAGCTCCGTTTTAGCAGCCACGGGTTTGCCAGCCGTCGCCCGGCTTCTGACGCATGCCGGCGGCGAGCAAGGGGAGGGGATGTGGCGACGAGGCACCCCGGTACGGCGCACAGCTGTTCGGCCCCGAGGGCCGGAGAGCGATGTGCGCCGTGCCATCCCCGGTCGAGGATCGACGCCGCCTCGGGAGACGCCGACGCGGTACGCTGCACACGCGTCCGCGGACTCCAGTCGTCCACACCCTGCCGCACCACCCTGCACGCTGGTGGGGACCCCGAAGCACCCTGCAGGCCCATGCGCGGAGGCACCCGCGGAGCGCCCTGCCGGTCCCTCTTGAAACGCGTGGAAGCCTGCGTGGAGAGCCCGCGGGAGCCCCTGGAAGCACCCAGGGCGCTCCCCGAGCCCTCGGGGCCTCTGGAGGCTCACAGGAAGCCCCTGAAGGGGCGAGGAGGCCCCCAGAGCCTCTGGAGGCTCTGGAGGCTCACTGGAAGCCCCCAGCCGCTGGAGGCGGACCGGAGTCACCCTGCGAGGACCCCTACAAGGGGTCCCGAGGAGCTCCTGGGGAGCCAAAGGTCGGCGGCGAGCGAGGGGGAGATGTGGCGCTGGAGACGGCCTCCTCCGAAGGCGGCGGGGCTTCCCGGCAGCCCTCGCGCCGTCTGAGAAGTGCCCTGCGCCGTCGGGGGAGGCCCAGGACACTGGAAATGGAAGGCAAACTGAGGCCTTCGGGCTGGGTTGGGGTGGTTTGGTGGGTGGTGAAACACTCCGTCGCCACATCCCCCCTCCCCATCCCACCCACGGCGGCGAGCCTGGGGGGGAGTGAGAAGGTCGGGGGCGCGCGCAAACATGGATTAGCGATCCATGGATTTGGCGCGCGGTCGCCAAATCCATGGATCAGGGGAGGTGCTCTCACCAAAATGCGGCCAGTGCCGCCTCGTTCGGCGGCGGAAATCTGAGATTTCCCATGGAAACGGGATCCGTCGCTAATCCACGCCCCCTTAATCCATGTTTGCGATCGCCTGAGAAGGGGGCGGGCCTTCTCGGAAGGCTCGGACCCCCCAGCCTTCGGAGAAGTTTCCTGAGCCTTCTCCGCAGACACAGGAAACAGCTCACAAAGTGCGAGGGCTTCTGAGAAGTCCCGCCGCCTTCTGCGAAGGCCTTCTCCATCGCCACATCCCCCTCCAAGTCCCACTCTCCATCGGCGATTCCTCTTCCACCCTTACCCCTCCCTCATCCGTCCTCCTTCGCATCGGGCAACGGGCAAGAAGCAGGCGCCCGCTGTGACATCGTCACCCGATCTTTGCCGCAATCCAGGGCCACCAAGCATCACCTGGCCGGGCTGCTCAGTGAACTGTCCAATCCAAGCAGAGGCTTTTACTTAGACCAATCCCATCTTTCACAATTCCATGATCATCTGGTCATCACTATTGTCCATAGGTAAACCAATAAAAGGTACCGATACCGCTACTCCTCGGACCTCTCCCGGGGTGGGTGTTGACCAGAATTTCGAGGCGAATCCAGCGGTGGCGACGAGGGCCTCTCAGGAGGCCCAAACAAGGGAAAACGAGGGAAGGATAGAGATATGGGTACCTGTTTCTCCTCTGAGTCAATGGCCATCACAAAAAAAGGCGACAGCATCAGCGACAAACGCAGGACGGCAACAACAGAAATACCATGCACATCGCTCCACCACCATCATCAGCTCATTATCATTGCCATCAGCAACAGCATTGCCATCGGCCTCATTCTCGGAAATGCTATTCCTATCACAACCTGAACCCTCCCTTGGAAACTGCGGGCAGTCGTCGTCACCATCCCCATCAGCAGCATTGTCAGCGGCCTCATTCTCCGAAATGCCATTCATATCGTCATCTGCGCCCCCACCTGGAAACTGCGGACAACCGTCATCCCAATCCCCGTCAGCAGCATCGTCAGCAGCCTCATACTGCTACCCCTGTAACCATCTTCGCCCCCACCTGGAAACCGATGGCGGCAATCGTCCCTATCCCCGTCAGCAGCATCGTCAGCGGCCTCATTCTGGAAAAAGCCATCCCTATCACCATCTGCGCACCCACCTGGACAACCGTCATCCCAATCCCCATCAGCAGCATCGTCAGTGGCCTCATTCTCGGAAATGCCATCCCTGTCGTCATCTGCACCCCCACCTGGAAAAAAGCAGGCAATCGTCGTCCCAATGCCCATCAGCAGCATCGTCAGCGGCCTCATTCTCGAAAACATCCGCGCCCCCACCTGGAAAGTGCGGGCAATCGTCATCCCCATCCGCATCAGCAGCATTGTCAGCGGAACTGGTCTAGAAAAAAAAACACCCCTACCGCCATCTGCGCATCCACTTGGAAACCGCAACCAATCGTCATCCCCACCCCATCAGCAGCATTGCCGGCGGTCTTCTTCCCGGAAATGCCATCCTTCTCACCATCTGCGCCCCCACCTTGAAACCGCGGGCAATCGTCATCCCCACCTCACAAGAGGGCCCGACAGGACAAAATCATCAATTTCACGATGGCTTTGGAAGGATTTTGGCCTTGTCGCCTTTTCGGCCATCCGATGCTCCAAGACGGCCCAAGAGGCCCCCAAGAGCGCCCCAAGACGGGCCAAGAGGCTTCCAAGAGGGCCCCAAGAGGGCCCAAGAGGGCCCCGAGACGGCCCAAGAGGCGCCCAAGACGGCCCAAGACGGCCCCAAGACGGCCCCAAGAGGGGCCCAAGAGAGGGACCACGAATTGAAAACACGAGCCTTCCGCCCCAAGAGGGCCCCAGGAGGCCCCGAGAGGCCCCCAAGAGGCCCCCAAGAGGCCCCAGGATGCCGCCAGGAGGCCCCCAAGAGGCCCCAGGAGGCCCCCAGGAGGCCCAAAAGAGGCCCCAAGAGGCCCCACAAGTTCAAAAATGCCTCCCAGGCGCCCCCGAACGGCTTCTCAAAAGACCCCAAGAGGCCTCCCAAAGAAGCATCGACGACGACCCTGTTTGGCCCCAAGAGCAACACAAGATGCCAACGAGAGGCTTCCTCCTCTGCCCCTTCCCCTTCCTCCTCCTCCTCCTCCTCCTCCTCCTCCTCCTACTTATCTTCATTCTCCTCCTCTCCTTCTCAGCCTCTCCTCCTCCTCCCCTCCCCTTCCCCATCCTCATCTTCCTCCTCCTCCTCGGAGGCGCCACAATGGCCCCGGGCCCACGGCAAAGCAGTAGCGATCATGCAACATGGGCCGGCGGAGTGAGCGACGCGATCGAATAGCGAAAAAAATGCCGTCCTGATTCTTGTTGCGACGCGCTCGTGTCTGGGCCCCCGCCTCGACTCAAAGCCCATGGGAGGCCCTCCTCCGACATCCCAGCCCCAGCCGCAGTGCGCGGCTCGCCTTCTCGCCCACTGCCGTCCCCTTGGGCACGCTGCCCGCGGGGACCTTGGAGGGGCCGCTCCGGCCGCCGCGCCAAGATGCCCACGCGCCCGCGCGGCCGCCCGCCCACCTCGACCCTCGATCCTCCCTGGTCCTCAGCAGGCACCCTACTCCTCGATCAATCTCGACCCTCGCACGTCTCGGTCCACCTAGATCTCCTCCTGTCACTCCTCCTCCTCCTCCTCCTCCAGCTCCTCCTCCTCCTCCTCCTCCTCCTCCTCCTCCTCCTCCTCCTCCTCCTCCTCCCATTAGTAGTATTCGTATGATTATTCGCATTGTGATTCGCAATCTGATTAGTATTAGTGACAGCATGAGAACGATTAATACGATTATTAGTATTAATAGAATTGGTAGTGTTCTTACCACTAATACGATGAGTATGATGGTTCGTGCTTATAATAATATCAGACTTAGCCTTATCATTATTATTACTAAGCATACGATTAGCACCATTAAGTTTATTCATAGTTTTAGATGTATGTGTCTTCGTACTCGTTTTCGTATCCTTATCAATATATGTATATATATATGTTCCTAGTGATCATAATCTGATTATTTGATTTGTCTAAGTATGGTTGGCACTTATAAGGTAAGTACGTTGCATCCCGCAGATGCGGATAAGAGTGAGGGGGCGGTGGGGACGTTGGCAGATTGCGAGACTCTGGAGAAGCCCGCTGCAGGCGCTAAAGTTTCACAAATTATGCAACGAGCCCGCCGCAGGCGCCGAAGTTTTGGCCAAACCAATGTGGGTAGGTCGCGGGTAGGTCGCGGGTGGGTCGCGGGTGGGTCGCGGGTGGGTCGCGGGTGGTTCGCTGTTGGGTCGCGGGTGGGTCGCGGATGTAGAGGGCAGAAAATCTACCCCACAAAAAAAAAACACCCCGACAAGCGAAGCCGTTAGTATTTAGTAAACACACAAGGAATGAATCGAACAGGGCAGGGCTGTTTAGTCAACGCCCAAGGTCATTTTAGTTAACGTCCTCCCTTGAGGGTCGGTCGCGGGGTGGGTCGCGGGGTGGGTCGCGGGTGGGTCGCGGGTGGGTCGCGGATGGGTCGCGGGTGGGTCGCGGGGTGGGTCGCGGGTGGGTCGCGGGATGGGTCGCGGGTGGGTCGCGGGGTGGGTCGCAGGTGGGTCGCGGGGTGGGTCGCGGGTGGAACGCGGGTTGGGTCGCGGGTGGGTCGCGGGGTGGGTCGCGGGGTGGGTCGCGGGGTGGGTCGCGAAGTGGGTCGCGGGATGGGTCGCGGGTGGGTCGCGGGTGGGACGACGACAACAAACAACAACAGCAGCAGCAGCAACAACAACAGCAACGCAACAACCCGAATTCTCACCACGAATTCCTTATTCAGCCACGCACCCAGGGACAATGAATAACCGTTCGGCCCCCTCACCCTGATTATTACCATTAATACTAATACGAATACTAATGCTAGTAGGACAAGTGTAGGTATTATTATGATTACTAAAATCTGGATGCGAAAGATTATCGATACTATTTTCTGGATAATGCGCGTTCGGATCAGTGATATTGTATTCGTACTCGTCGTATGATGAATATACTCATTGGTCTAAGCTTTATGCTTAGTCGTATCACTATTACTCGTACTATTCATGTTGTTCGTGCTACTACTCGAATTGTTATTGTTATTATTATTCGTGTGTTTACCGTATTCCTTTTTAGTATTGCTATAATGATTGCGATTGTTTATGGTTAGTAGTATTATTAGGCTTCATCTTATAGGTATCATTAGTGTGAATCATTTTCTTAAGATTACTATTTCTCGTCCTCCTCCTCCTCCTCCTCCTCCTCCTCCTCCTCCTCCTCTTCTCACCTCCTCCTCCTCTCTTCCTGATCCTCCTCCTCTTCCGTGTCCTCTTCCTCCCTCCTCCTCCTCCTCCTCCTCCTCCTCCTCCTCCTCCTCCTCCTCCTCTCCTCTTCATCCTCCTCCTCCTCCTCCTCTCCTCCTCCTCCTCCTCCTCCTCCTCCTCCTCCTCCTCCTCCTCCTCCTCCTCCCTCCTCCTCCCCCCTCCCTCCTCCTCCTCCTCTCCTCCTCTCCTCCCTCCTCCTCCTCCTCTTCTCCTCCTCTTCCTCCTCTCCTCTCCCCTCCTCCTCCTCCTCCTCTTCTTCTTCCTTCTTCTTCTTCTTCTTCTCTCCTCCTCCTCCCTCCTCCTCCTCCTCCTCCTCCTCCTCCTCCTCCTCCTCCTCCTCCTCCTCCATCATCATCATCACCATCATCATCAGCATCATCATCATCATCATCATCATCATCATCAGCAGCATCAGCATCAGCATCAGCATCATCATCATCATCATCATCATCATCATCATCATCATCATCAGCATCATCATCATCATCATCATCTTCCACCTCCACTCTCCTCCTCCTCCTCCTCCTCCTCGATCAACCTCGATTGTCCTCCTCCTCCTCTCCCTCCTCCTCCTCCTCCTCCCCCCTCCTCCTCCTCCTCCTCCTCCTCCTCCTCCTCTCCTCCTCCTCCTCCTCCCCCCTCCTCCTCCTCCTCCTCCTCCTCTCCTCCTCCTCCTCCTCCTCCTCCCTCCTCCTCCTCCTCCTCTCCTCCTCCTCCCTCCTCCTCCTCCTCCCTCCTCCTCTTCTCCTCCTCCTCCTCCTCCTTCTCCTCCTCCTCCTCCTCCTCCTCTTCCCCCCGATATCCACCTCTTTCACCGCATCCTACACAGTGAACATCAACGAATTCCTCCTTTCTACTCTTCCACCTCCTCCTCAAATTCGTCGACCGCATCCTCATTCTCTTCCGCATCTTCATGTATCCTCCGCTTCCTCGATCCGGCCCTCCTCGAGACCTGATATCCGAAATCCTCTTCCTCCCTTCACCCCCTCCTCTCCACCTCCTCCTGAGGGCAGAGACGATGCCCTGGGGGCGCTGAGCAGCGCGAAGGTGCACATAAGTGGCGCGCACCGCGAGGCCAGCACCGTCGCGCACTGACAATGCGCAGGCGTGCTCCCCACGAACGAGTCCTGAGTGATAGGACGGCTGCCACTGACGGGACAACCGCGCACACTTCTCCGTCCGAAGCTGAGATAGACGAGGGCGCACACGTCGCCGCGTGGCCGCCCGCCTGGACCGAATGGCGCAGAGAAAGGCGCAAACGTGACTTTTCGGCCGAAGGCACGACAAACGTGTCAGCATGCTGGAAGCCACACACTCCGTGCATCGCGCGTCCGAGCGCCCGCGCGCAGAGCATGCACCAGAGCGTGGGACAACATCTCTTGTACCCAAGTGAGTGGCACAACTCTGCTCCGATTGCGCGTCAATCGCACTCCACATTGCGACCTCGTTGAGTGGGCGAATGGACCGGGTGCCTGTAGTTGCGCTGACGCACGGTCGTAGACGGAGCCGCCTACAGCGCAATACGCGGGCGGGGTCACTTCCTTGTTTCTTGGGGACGAGCATGTAACAAGGCGTCTGGGCAGTACGCGGCACGACAGCAATAGGTACCAGCGGCATGCCTGAACGCCTTATCCGGGAAAAAAGTAGGCGTTGACGGTAGCGAAGTCGCAGTCGAAGTCCGCCGCGAGGAAGAACCAGAAGAAGAAGAAGAAATACGGCAGCTCGCATTTGCAGAGGTGGTTAGAGGGGGGGCGAGACGAAGAACCCAGTGAACGATGGGCGTGGCGCAGCCGTCGCACTGGATGCAGATGGACGCGGTGTCTGCAGCACTCGCCGAATGCGCATCTGGCTGGCACAAGGACGAACGCCACCTTGACTCCCCGGACGGCCGCGGCAGTGCCGAGGCCCCTGGCTGGGGCAGAAGGCTGCGGTGCAAATGCGTTGACCGCGCCCCTCGGCGCGCGCAGCGTGCTCGCCAAAAGGAACGCCAGCACTGCCGCGCACCCGCCGAGCCGAACCGCTGACCCAGCCGCGCGGTCTAGCGCGAGACTCTACGCCCCACTGCCAGTACCGGGACGTTTTGGTTGGAGAGAACGCGTTTCACAGGCGTTTGCCTTGGGAACATTCGGCGGCGCGCTTCAAACCGGGGGGTGGGCCCCCCCCAACACTCGGCGCCGTCGGTCAAAACCAGGGGGACTCCCCTCCCGCCCAACACCCACCCTCCCGAACCCCTTCCCCCTCCCCCAGCACCGGCGCCGGCGGCCGCCGGCAGCGCTGACGGCTGGGACGCAGCGACTATGACCAGATGCAGCCAAGGGGGGGGGATTCAAACCCCCCCCTCTCCTGGCGCTGGCGCTGGCACCGGCGACGGCGGGGACGCAGCGACGGTAACCACCACCACCACCACCACTACCACCACCACCACCGCCCCAACCCACCACCACCAACACCAACCCACCACACAACCACCACCACCACCACAGCCACCACCACCACCAACCACCACCACCACCACAAATCACCATCACCACCACCACCACCACCACCACCACCACCACAAAAACACACCACCACTACTACCACCACCACCACCACCACAATCTACCACGCCACTACCACCACCGCCACAACCACCACCACTATCAGTAGCACAACCCACCACCACCACCAAACACCACACCACCAGCACCACCATGACCAGCACCACCAACACCACCTCCACAAACCACCACCACCACCAAAACCCACCACCACCACCACCACAAACCACCATCAGACCACCACCAAGCAACCACCACCACCACAACCCACCACCAACACCACAAACCACACCGCCACCACCACTACACCACCATCACCACCACCACCCACCACCACAACCACCACCACCACCACCACCACGAACCACCACACCACCTCCACCACCACAACCACCACCACCGCCACCACTACACCACCATCACCACCACCACCACCACAACCCACCACCACCACCACCACCACCACCACCACCACCACCACCACCACCACCACCACCGTCGTCCTCGTCGACGCTCCCCGCCGCCGGAGCCCGCCGCCGCAGGCGCCGGAGTCGGCCCAGAAAAAAAGTCGTCGCCCGTGCCGCCGCCGCCGGCCGAGGAGA